CAGAAGCATCCTCAGCTCAGTGGATCAAGGAATTAACTCTGCCATTGGAATTATGATTGTTAACATAAGAAGCAAAAGATCTCTTTAATGGGTCAAGAACAGAATCAGAAAACAGGCAAGAGTTTAAACCACAGTGTTAAAAGTGGGGATGGGTTTGTGCATTACCATACATAATTAGAAGCTGGCAAGATGGATATAAATAAGGAGTGAGGGATGGAAGAGAAGTAAGCATAAACAATTTAAATAAAGGTTTAGAAAATCTGTAAGTGGAAAGACACCTAAGAGGTACTACTGAGAGAAAGATCTATGTGCACAAAAGTAGTTTCTTCTTTTCTTCCTTCTTCCCTCCTCCACCCACCATAGCCCCCTCTTTCTTTTAGTTTTGGGCAGAGAGGGACCAGTTGATCAATCACCAGACATCTTTTGCACGTGAGGGGGACTTCCGGAGGAAACTGTATTAGCGATAGCCTCCAGGAAGTGGGAATTGGCCAAGCAGCGGATGGGGTCTTTTCCTTTTCAGTCTGTGCTCTTAGGCTATTTGAATTTTTCTCTTTTACAGTAAAAACAAAGAAAGCAACTGTAGCTGAGGGCTGGGAGTGGAAAGCAGGCCCCAGGGAGGGGTCATCCTGAGTTCAAAGCTGGATCTGAAGGCAAGGTTACAGCTGGGGGAGGAGGGATCAGGCTCAAGTGAACAAAGCAGCCTCCTCCGGGGAACCCTGACCTGGTATCCACTGTGGAATGACAAATGGCCCTTCTGCCACCACCATGCAGAGCCAGGCTCACTGAGGCCTGAGGCTCAGTCTTTTCCCACAAAAGTTGCTCACTGCGGTGGGGAAGCTGGGGACAAAGGACTGAATGATTTTGAGGAACTGTCCTGCCCAGGAGGGGGAAACATGATTTGCAGGTGAAGAGCACTGTCTAGTCTCACAGTCCCCACCCGTGCAAGTCCCAGGTGCCACATTTGACAAATGATCCTGGCCCAATCGGGCCCGATGCTGCATTTTAATGGACAAGAGCTGCAGAAGGCAGTGGAGGAGAGCCCTGTGTCTGTGGGGCCAGGCCCAACCTTTAATTACGTCCACCAGAGACATGGTCATTGCTGCTCATGGGTCCTGCAGAATCAGACACACTAGACTGGAAATTCGAGCTCTGGGATCCATGAACCCTGCCACTGGTGAGAGGCCATGCAGACATTTCAGATGTTTTTGGACATAGACCACAACATTTGTAGGGGTCAGATGAGGGACAAACTTGGCCAGTAGCCCAGAGTCCTCTTTGCTTAATTTGGTAGTTTTCTCACTTTACATAAATATGCAGGCACATCGTTCTTTATTCCAAAGCAGCGATTCTCAAGGATTGGTTGCATCTAAACCACCTCTTCCATCCCAGACCTTCTGACAGAGGAGGCCAGAGCTATAGGCCTTGAGTTTATGCTCCTAAGAGGTCCCTAGTGCTGTAGCTGCCTCACACTGTTACCCAGGGCACCAAAGGAACACACAGAGCAAACAGTACAAACAGCACTAGATCCTTGGCTTCTGGGAACTGGGTGGGTGAGGATTGTGGTAGGCTGGACAATGTCTACTCACTGCTAGAACAGTGTCCCAGAGGTCCACACAACACTGGAACAGGTGTGCATGTGGTGTTTTTTTAGCTCCTTTGATTTCTTTTTTGGGGGAGAGGGAGATTAATAACAGCCACATACATGGATTTTCTCATGAAATCTTATCTTTGGCCATCATTGGCAATTGTCTCTTAGGATTTTTAAAACATTGTTCAGGCCAAATAAAATACATCTGCAGGCCAGATTCCACCCTCTGGCTGCTGTACAAAAATATAGATAAGACTCCCACAGAAAAGAGGTAGGATCAGAGATCTCAGAGCCTGAGAGCCTCTGGGCCCTGTTGTGTGTGTGTGTGTGGGGGGGGGTGTCAGCCTGGCCACACCTCCCTAGCAGAGACCCTACCCTTTTTCCCCATCCCCCAGGTCACACCTAGGCACCCGTCAATCCTCATTGCTCCTCTCACCCCACATTTTGCAGTCACACTCGAGCCTTGTGGAGTATACTTCTGAACACCCTTTCACCAGGCCTTTTCTGCACCTTAATATACATAGTTTGCTCTGAAATGCTGTTATTCCCTTTTCCAATCTGCCCTAATTCTCACTTATCCTTCAAGGGCCTACTCAGCTGTTACCTCCTTGGGAGCTTCCCTTCCCACTGTTCACAGCTCTGTGCAACTGGAGACCCCTCATACTCCCATCACGCACTAGGCTACAAAGGCCCAAAAGTGTTTCTGTCTCTTCCACTGAGCTGGGCATCAGGAGGCCTTGTGTGTACAGGCTGTGCTCAGGGCCCAGTGGGGGACAAGAATGAAATAACATTTACCAGACCCTGGTTTCTTGGCCTTGGTCTTCCTCTTTTTTCTGTTTGTCTGCCTCCTTCCTGTTTTGTTTCAAGCCTCAGCTCAGACTTACTCTCTGTGGGAACCCTCCCTGACTTCTCAGACCAAGGTAGGATGCTCCCCAACTACCCCTACATCACTCCATGAGAGTATAAGTCACCTCACCAACAGGGGCTACAAAGACAGAGGAAGCACCCTGCAGTCCTTGGAAGACCCCAAAGAGAGGAAATGAACCAAACGAGGAATGCTCCAAGGGGAGAATGTAGGTCCTGTGACATGCTGTGAACAGTCCTGCCCCCATTTCTAATTGGTAGGTTCTGAGCATGCAGGGTAGAAGGCATAGTACTAAAAGTAATCTTTGGCAATCACTTCTTTCAGGACATCTAGGAGTCTTCTGAAACCTCAGCCAAGGTGACCTGTTAGCATCTGGGTGTCTTTCTGTGCAAGCTCCATATTCTGTTATCCCATACCAACCACCAGCCAAAAGCCATATACTATCTGCAGCCCAAGCCACATACTATCTATCAGGCAGCCCAGAGGAGGGTTTCTCTGCACTACAGCAGCCAAGGGAAGTCCAGGTAGAAAGGGCCAGGGCTTTCCCACTTCCTAGCAGGCAACAAGGGGAGTGAGTAGGCATCTACTGGGGAGTGGGCCTCCCTGATTCCTGGAGCACTGAAGAGGACCAACAGACCCAACCTAGTTTGTCACAGCTCATCGAGTTTGTCCTGAGCTACTGCACAGAGTTCAGAAACGAAGGTAGCCATTACTCCTTCCCTTGTGTACAAAATCCTCTCCTTCACTTCCTTTTTCTTTTCTAGTTAAGCACAGAAGTGACTTCTTTTAGAAACCTGCAATCCCCTCTTCTGGGTGGTGATACTCTCTCCAACCCTGACGCCATGGCTTCCTTTGTCACCACTGAGCACACCATTGTCACTGTTTGTGTGTCTGTCTCTACCACAAAGACCATGGTACACACAGTGGCTAACTCAGATCTTCTCCCACTCAGTGAACCTCCCTCCCCAAGGCCACACGATAAGAAATCCTGTATATGAAGCAGGCTTGGAAAGTGTACTGTGAATATTAAGTGAAATAATGTGAAATCTGAACAGTACTGGCACATAGAAAACACTTAATATTCACCAGTATTAGGAGATGGTCAACAAACATTTCTGGGGTTACTGGACTCAGGAAGGAACAAAAGATCTAAAGCGATTGGCCAAGTACAAGCTGGCACATTCCGAGTTGCAGTGATCCCACACAGACATTTGATGTGTTCTGACAGCACCCAAAAGTGAGCTGGGGATGAGGATTTTCTTCTTAGAGCAGAGTCGTTTGCAGTGGACAGAGAGCAGGCCAGGCAGGGAACAGAAAGAGCCTGTCTGAAGGTCTCCTCTCCCATCTGATTAAGAGGCTGGAGGTTCAAAAGGCACGATGCAAAATGCCATTTCCATCCAGCTGGCTGTCCTGCCAATGACATTGCTTGCTGACTCCTTCTCACTCCCATCATTTCTCAAACAGTACTCAGATACCAGTCCTGACTGCCTTCCCTTCTGATGAATAAACAAGTTGGGGATGCATTGTCCAGGTTGGGGCTTCTTTTTCCCGGACAGGGCACATCAGCACTATCCTCAAGAGCTCAGCTAATGCCTTCTGCAAAGGCTCTGCAACAGGGACCCTGGGCAGAGTGGTCTTATGAGTCTCTTCTTTCTCTGGGCCTCAATCACTGACCAGCAGAAGCTCTAATCCCTCCCTCACCAGGCGGTGGTGTATGATCACTGGCATAGGGCAAGGCCAGTAGCAGACCCACGGTAAAGACCCCTCCCTGCCACATGGCGGGAGGACCTGGTGACAAGCAAGGCAGCTACTGAGCTGAACATAAACCATCTCTGGACCCAAGACCATGACAGGAAGGCTGGGAGTCCCCTAACTTCTCAGCTCCAGGATGTTGATGGAAGCCTGGTGCTGACCTTCCGGAGTCTGCTGCGGGAGCACTAATTGGGGTCTCCTGGTCATCAGCTTCCCACCCTCGGGGAAGGAAAGGCTCGCAGCACCCCCCTCCCTCACAGCTGCTTCCTCTGCCTGGGCAGTGGGGACACTGACCTCCCGAGCAGGTGCTGGTCAAAAGGTCCACAGGAAGTATTCGGAGGGCCACAGCAGAGTTCATGCTGACCCTGCTTTCTAGAGCTTACACTTCAGAGGGGTTCCCTGTATTTTCTCTTTCTTCCCTTCTGCCTAAAGCCAAAGGAGAACAGAGTCCACTGGCTTGTCTGGAATTCCAGCCTGCCCCTCCTCAACGGCCCTGCTCTGGCCATGTGGTCTTTCTGAAATTGTTTCTTCATCTGTAAGGTGCGGCAAACTCCCAGCTGCCTCAAAGGCTGCTCTGGTGAAGTTACACGAGAAAAGACCGTGGCAGCGTGCCTGCACACAGCGGAGACGCACTCAGCAAACCCGCCGTCTATGTGGTGCTGCCTACTCTGGGACTGGGAGTGGGAAGACTCAGAGTCTCACAGCACACAGGGACCTGGCTCCCCTCCCAACCAGCCCTGCCCTCAGGCGGCCAGATCCCTTGGGTAGGAGACAATCAGCGTGGCAGATCCTCACCATGCACTTGCGGTCATCTATGCCGGTCAGATCCTCCTCAAACTCTTTCCCAACCTGGAAGTCCATGATGTAGTTCCTGAAAGTGCTCAGCGTGCGGATGATCATATGGTCGCCGTCCTGCTCTATCTCTTTGTCTGGCTTCAGTAAGTTGGCGATTTTGCGCAAGGCCACATTGACATCTACAAGGTGTGCAAAGGCAGAAGGTTGGCGGGAAAACTCAACTTTCCCAAAAGGCACTGGATTCCAGGAGCTGTTGTGCCCCAGAACGCAGCTGGCATTTACCCTCTTGCTTTGCTTGTCTCTGGGCCCAACCTCTCTGTGCCTCATTTATTCATTTATTTTTTTCTTTTGGCAACAAAGTCTGCTGCCCTCATGCTAACCCCTAGGAACAAACCCATCAAACCAAATCCAGTTTTACTAATTACATTATCCATGTTCTGCACCAACCGGCAGACACTTGCTACCAATTAACTCTAATAATTCGGATCCTCCAACTTGCAGCCCGCAGGTCGCTTTCCTGGTGCGGGGGTTCCCGGAGCCTTGGCTCGACAGGTGTGTGTGTGTGTGTGTGTTGGGGGGCGGATCCTGAGGACTCCGGGGAGGACTTCGGGGAGAACCCTGGAGAGGTCTCTGGGGAGGACACCAGGGAGGGCCCGAGCGGCCAGCAGAGCGCGGTGGGCAGCGCTTACCCAAAGCGCGCAGGTACTCCTCGAAGTTCTCGTTGCTTAGCATCTTCCAGTATCCGGTGAAGTCCACTGGCATTTCGGGGAGCAAATGGGGCCTGGCGGCCACGCGGCAGGCAGGAGCGGCTCTGAGCTCTGCTCTGGCAGCGGCTGCCGAGGCGATCGCGGTGGTGGGCGGCCCGGAAATGCGCGCCCTCGGGGGACAAGGGGCTCGGCGGGGCTGGGACAGTCGGATGCCAAGCGCATAAGGAGCTTGAAGGAGGATCCATTGTAGCAGTTGCTCCTCCCCGTTTGGGGGCGGGGGCGGGACGGGGCGGGGGCTGGAGGGCAGATTTGTCTCTAACCACTTTCGCTTCGGACCTGCAGTTATCTCCCCGGGAAACGAAGTGGAGACCGGAAGGGTGGCTTTATTGACCCCAACTCTTCAGACCCTGAACGATTCCTTCAAGGGTTTGAACTTGTCTCATTCCACGGCCACTTGACTGGACATCCGTCCCCTCCGATCTGCTGGGCAGATTCGGAAAAGAGGCCACTTGCAGGCTTTTGTCCAAAGCTCCGCGCACAAGGGCGGTGCTCCAGAGGAGGCCAGGCTGGGGAAAGCTGGGCGGTTCAACTTTAGGGAGAACCTGGGGTGGGGTGGGGCACTCTCCACGTCTCTGCAGAAAGTGAAAGCAAAATTGAGGTTATTTGGAGACAGCTCTAAAAACCCTCCGGGAAATTCTGATGCGAGATCAAGTTTGAGATCTCCTGCCCTGCCGCATGTCTCCATAAGCAGTTACCAATATCAGGCTCCTTTTTGTTTCCCTCCTCACCTCTCGGCAGCACAGACCTTCTGGTGTTCAGCACTTTGCTTTGATCACTTAATGTGGTCTGGGGGCCTCCCCATTTGTGCACGTGGAAAGCATCCCCGCTGCTTTGCACAGGAAGCCATTGTTTACCCAGCCTGGCCTCTGCTGGGGGACATTTCTACTGCTTCTGATCCTTCACTATTAAAAGCAGTAACACCGTTTAAGTCTTTGATCCGGTCTTATTTGTCACCTGTATGTGTCTGTTATAATGCTTTAAAAGGGCTTTTTGCCTCTAAGGAGATGACATAATCACAGGCCTTGACTTTTTGACCCTCCATTAAAGACTAAATATCTCTTTTAAAATTGCTTTTAGCACAAATCACAACCTGGGTGACACCAGGTACATTTTCTTCCAGTCTAGCAGCACTCCAATGCCTTCCCCACCTCCAGGGCTGTGGTTAGTCTCTGCCGTGCATTTAGCTGTTTTGGCAAGACTCTCTTCCTCTGGGAAGAGGAAATTTCCTCCCCAGGAGTGGATGGAATCTCAGCTCCTCTCATCTGCCTTGCTCCACACCAGAGATTCTGAACCTCAGTGTTAGTGGTGTTTGGTAGCAGACACCTCCTTATTATGGGCATGGAGTGGGGCTGACTTATGTCTTAGATGCTTAGCAGTATCTTCGGCCTCTATTCATTATGCCCCTGTGGTGTCCACAGATGTTTTCAGACATTGGCAAGCTTAAATCCTGGTAGGAGGACAAAACTGTCCTGACTGAATGCCACAGTTGTACCTGTCGGCTGTCATCCTCGTGTCCTTCACTGGGCTCTGAGGTGCTCAGGCTGTTGGTTGTTCACACAGACACTGGCTCTGTGTCCCTTCCTAGCCAGCCCAGAGCTCAATTAGCTGGGTAGCTAAGGCAGCCTATCCCAGCCCTCCCCAGACAAAGGTGCAAGCAGACACACGTGTAGTTCATTCAGGGCCATGGTAGGGCCTGTCCTGGCCTGAACTGTTTAAAACTTCTCAACAGGGATAGCCACTGCCTTGCTTTTCCATGCTACCCTGACTTGTAGGAATGAGAGATCAAGTGAAGGTTTAAACAGTGAACTGGCCACTCCTTGGCCAGCCTCAGCCGAAGTCTTTTTCTTCCTTGTGGCACCATCAAGCTCAGCCATCTGGATTCCTCACCTCTTCAACCTTGCCCCTTTGTGCTGGGCCTTGAGGTAACCAGTACAGTGTGGGGTAGGGGCCAAGTCAGTTTTGGTTCCCTGCCATGCCTGGAGTGGCCCTCTCGTGCTCTGGGCAAAAGCCTGCCCCTTCTTCTTCCACCTCTGCAGGCCTCCTGTGTCCACCTAAAGAACCAAGATCTGGCCGTTCTGTGGCTATTCCTGATCTTTTGACCTCTGTCTTCTGAGCTGGCTGCCTAAGCACATAGCAGTCAATTCCATTGCCTTTACTTAGCATTGCCTGTATCTTTGTCCACACCCTTAGAGAGGTTAATGCATTCTTGCTTGTCCTCGTTACCTTCTCACTGTTGGGAAAAAATACCCAATATCCACAAGTTAAAGAAGGAAAGATTTACTCTGGTTCACAGTTTGTAGAGGTTTCAGTCCATGATCAGCTGGCTCTAAGGCAGGGTGGCGTGGCAGGGGAAAAACAGTTCATGCTAAATCCGGATGAGCAGGGTATAGCAGACTTCCTTCTGCTTTTCCTTTTTATTCCATCCAGGTTATGAGGCGATTGGTTGGTGCCACTCACACCCAGGGTGGGTCTTCCATCTTTAATAAATTCATTCAGTCACATCCAAAATTATGTTAAACCATTCAGTAGACTAGTCCACTATCAGATACCCATGAAGCTCTAACAATGAGTGCATGAGGTTCTGGGGGAACATCTAGATATAAGCAATGACATTGTCCTTCTGGGTCTTCTCTCAATGGGGCTCTCCCACGCATGGCCCTGTGCTGGCTGTATCTTCTACAGCCAAGAGTAGGTTGCATGTGTTGGCTTTGGAAGCAGACAGATGCTTCCTGTGTCACTGTCTTGCTTTGTGATCTTGGGTAAATTACTTAGCCTCTTTGTGTTGCTATCAGTTATGGGCCTAGAGATGGGTTCCCAGATTCTTGTGTTTGACAGAGAATTGGATATGGTACACAACAGCAAGAAAACAGTGATGAAAGCATACTTGAAGTAAGTACTTGCAAAAGAAAAAATGCGTTAGATCCGAGGATGTAGAATGTAGAGGTTTAAATGTTTCACCTGCTTTAAGGTACTTCCTATTGGGGTTGGGACCCCAAAACATGATTGACAGCATGACTGCCAGGGTGCTGAGTCATGCATATGCATTTATTATGCATATCCTTTTCTATAATTAGCTCTATTATAACCTTGTGTATAAGATGTTGTCCATAGGCACGAACTTTCATTAAGCACCAGGGGAAGAAAGGGTACTCTAGGTCAGGCAGGGATGCCTGTTTCTGAGCCTTGGTTTGGAATTCCAGAATTTTCCCTGATGGGCTTGGGATCTCTGTTTTTCATATCTGTACCACCTTGGCAAATCCTAAAGCAGGGTTGAAAGTTAGCCATGGGACACTGCCCAAGTCCAGGTGAGTGGAGGGGTAGAGATCTGTATCCCCTTGAGGTGCAATATTATTTGCACCTCGGTTTCCACATCTGTAAAATGGAAATATCGAATACCTTCCTTTCAGGGTGGTGAGGCACAATGGAGATTTAAAACCTAAGAGGTATTGCACAGAGGCTGCTGCAGATGCACTGATGTTCCAGCCAGCAGAACCCTAGATGTGAGGGAGAAGGCAGGCGAGAGAAGGATGCTACTGGTCTATGTCCCCTGCTGGGGCCTTAGGATCAATTCAAGAGAAGTGGAAATGCTCTGTGGGAAAATGGGCACCACCATGGCTCCTTCCTCTGGCAACTCTCTCCTGCTTACTCTGGTTCATTTACCAGAGAGCTCATCCTGGAGCTGTTTTCTGTCTATGGTGACATTGCTTGGGATGTACAAAGTAAAGCAAGAGCAACCGAGCAGAGTGTGTCAAAAAGAGCGAGGGGGTCTGTGTGGGCTGGCGATCAGGAGAGCTCCTGGGAGGAGGGTCCAGCTGGTTCTTTAGAACCACCAGGAGCACAGAGGTGAGAAAGAGGAGGACACAGTATAGGAAGAGACAGGTGAGAAAAAGAATGTAGAAGGAAGGAAGGGGCACACTTGTCAAAGAGGGAAGGCCCAGGCCTTCCCAATGAGAACTCGGAGGAATTCACCTTTTCATTCCTCAGCTAACCATTTGACTCCATGGGCATGTGAGAGCTCAGAGACGCACCTTTGAGAATGATTCCTTCATCATTCAATTGCTGGTCTTGGGAGCTAGGCAGTCCTCTGCCTGTGTCACTGACAGGCCAAGCCCCTGGTGCAGGGCCAGTTTCCGGGACTACAGAGCTTCACGAGAGCTATGAGCTGGGCAGAGTCCCTGAGGCTCTGTCCCTCCTGGGAAAATTCTCTTTCCAGAAAGCAGGGGTGGGGAGAGTGTCCCAGACCCATCCTGCACTCTTTGCCAGATCTGCCCACACCCCAGGATGCTCGCCTCCTGCAAGGGACAGGGGCATGGTTCTTCTCCTTCAGGCTGATTAAACAGGCCATTCTCATCAGGGTGCACTGGCCTTGACATCCTGTTCCTACTTGTCTTACCCAGTGCTGAACTTTGAAGATTTGTAAAATCTCTTTTCCTGTGTTCCAGTCTGTTTCTAGAGTTGCACTCCATTTTCCCAGTTGTTTCCATGCCTTCTGTGAGGTTAATGGCTGAAAGGAGAGGGTGCCCCAGGGGGCTGCTTTCCTGTGTCCACTGTGCTGGGGAAGGAGAGAGCTTGTCAAGATGCCACAGAGGCTTAGGGGCACTGAGGTCTACTCAAGACACTGTTTTCTGACAGGCTCATGAATATTCAAGTATGCAAATAACAATGCTATGTCTACAACTTTCAGAATCTTAAACTCTCTTTGGGGTATCTTGGGGATTTATTTCTTGTAGAAAATAGCTCTACAGATTGAGTCAGCTACCTTTTATCTGACCCATTCATTTCCATTAGCTGGTAATTGTTTCTATAGATTATGGCATATACTGCAAGGGAAGAATTTTTTTCCCTCTATCTGTCCTTTTTATTCCTTCCCACTCCCCCTCTCTCCCTTCCTCCCTGTCTCTCTCCTTCTTTGTTTCTCTCTCTCTCCCTCTCTCTCTCTCTTTCCTGCTGTGTCTCTTTTTCTTCCCTTTTCACTCTTTTTCTCCTATTCTTGTTCTCTTCCCTTCTCTCTTAATTATATTACTCTGGAAAAATTTAAACTGATACAAACTGAAAGAATAGTACACTGAACCGCTGTGGATTCATTTCCAGTTTCAACAGGTATCAACCCATTACCAATGTTGTTTCATATTATAGTCCCACCTACATACTCCCTAACTTCCAAAATTATTTTGAGGCAAATATGAGACACATATCAAGA